CAGCTTCGAAATGTTTACCTTTACTTTATAAATAACCTTAAGAGAAAACCAAATGCTCAAGAATGCAGCTGTTGACGTCTTTATACTGTCCTTTAGATAGCCATTCAGGATAGCTTTGGGAGATGCTTTTGAATGGAACAAACTTTGTGTGGCCCATTTTCATCAATTTTACTCTCCTTTCTCAGTTAAATGCAACCATCATGCATAGATGTCAGTGAGAGTAATGTCAAAATGCAAGACGAACTGAAGTGTTGTACTACCATAGCCTGTCAATACCCAACCCATAGTTACTAAATAACCACTGAATCACTTAGTTAAAACGTAACGATTCCCGCGAGCTACCATCAGCTGCCACCCACCATTTTACCTGACCAAGCTTAACCAACATAGATCATAGAATTTTGAAAATTCCCTATCACTCATACTGTAACAAACAAATCCAGAATATGTTCCTCGGTCTTTAGATTTGTTTATAGAGAAAAGAAAAACAAACACCCACGTTATATTGTTCGAAGTAGTCAGTTTATTCATAGTAAATACTGATTGATTTTAGATTTTTCTTGTCTGGCACTTATGAAAGATGGAAATTATAGACTCGGAGTTGGTTTTTATACAAACTTAAAATCGGTTCAATCTAAAAGCAACCGCTGAAGTTACCTGAAACCTTCTGGATAGTACTGTTTATTTGTAAAAAATGATAGCTGAAATGTTTAATCATCTCACTAGAAGCTGCTGAGAACTTGGATTTAACAGACTTGCATGCAACTGATGCTAAATCATTCCTGGTATACACGTGGTAAGTGTTAAATCGATGAAAAGAGATTCTGTGGTTCAACCCTCAATTCCGAACACATCAACAGCTTCTTCAAATAAGTAAACTCGGTGGTACAATAAGACGATATACTTTTGAGTTAGAAGACAAAAGAAGACTATCATAAAGGTAGGACTCGAAAATAAGTAGAAGACAGGATGATGGCTTAGATACAAGTATTCATAGGAATCTTTCAAATCACATTTATTTCCAATAGTCATGCCGATAATTTATTTTACTATGTACTCAGCAAAACCTCGCCTGGTTAACTAGTTCACTAGTTACTAGCCGGTCGTAAGCCCGGGTAAAGAGGGAAGGTTTGGCATGGGGCTAGCAACCCTACCCCGGAAAACAAATCTAACCTCTAAACAAACTCCAAACCACAGACGAAGTATAAAAATAACAGAAAACTTATTCGTCGCTGGAATCGGAGAGGCGAAATGACGCCAGTTGGTGAAAGCCTTCGGGAAGCCAATTGGCCGATGTGTCTTCTTTCTCTCGATGAAAGCGTGGAATGGACATGGAATGTCCGCACGATGTTCGAACCCAGCAAGACAGCCCAGATTGCAAGTGAGATGAAGAGGTATCACATTGAAGTGTTTGGAATTTGCGAAAGCAGATGGAATGGGAGTGGACTGTCGAAACTGTCACCTTCAGAGCAGCCAATAATCTACTCCGATGTTGTCACCCAGACGACAACCACGAGCACACTGAGATTTGGAGTGGCTATCATGATGTCCCCTTCAAGAGCATCGAAGACTCTCATGCAGTGGGAACCGATCTCCCCCAGGATCATGACAGCAAGGTTCAACTGAAAAGGAAGGGACGTCACAATCATACAATTTTACGCACCTACAAAAAATGCAGATGAAGAGAAGGAGGAGGAATTCTACAGACAACTGCAATCAACACTGGACAAAACCCCACATCAGATGGCGACATCGAAATTGTAATGGGGTTGGGTGACATGTTTCAATGCCAAACTGGGAGTGGACAACACAGGAAGAGAACTCATCCATCATGGGTCGAGCAGCACTCGATGGGATGAACGAGAATGGAGAACGTTTTGCAGAATTCTGTGCATTCAACGATTTGGTGATTGGAGTTAGGCAGTGTGTTCAGGCACAAGGATATCCACAAAGTGAGTGACGTGGATTTCACCAGACACCAGGACACACTAGAAATCAGATCAACTTCATCTCAATGTGAAGAAGGTGTAGATGCAGCCAGCCTACTGGAGGCGGGATGAAATGAAGATGTGGAGCAGATGTAGGTTCACACCACTCAGTATGCAGTGCAAGTAAGCTGTCTTCAGAGTCGAGTTGAAGGCGTTCACAGAAGTTGGTGATAGGCCACAGTTCAAGTACAACACTCGGAGACTGAAGGACGAAACTACAAGGCACATCTTCACGGCAGCCAGCCATCAAGACAAAATGAGAGATATTGAGGAACATCCCTGAATAAACCTGTGTGGAAGAACACTGGAAGTCTTTGAAAGAGATGTGGGAAGAAACCTGCACAGCCGTATTAGGAAGGAAGAAGAAGAAGAAAGAAGATCAGGAATGGATCTCAATGAATACATGGAAGCTGATGGAGCAGGGAGAGGAGGATGATGAAGCAGAAGATAAAATAGTGCAAGGATGAACAAGGAAAAGAAGAACTGAGTACAATCTGTAAAACACTACACTGGATAAAGAAGTGAAGAAGAGTGCACGGAGAGACAAAGGACACTTCTACGACACACTGGCAAGTGAAGCAGAACAGGCTGGGGGCAGGAGAGATAGAGAGAGACCTGGCAACATTGTATCAAATAACCAGGTTACTATCTGTAAGGGAATAGATCAACACAGTGCAGATGAAACCAACAAAAGATGATGAGGGAAATTGAATTACGGAAGAAGAGAAACAAAGGAAACGATGGGCTGACCACTTCAAGAAGCTGTTGAATCGACCACCACCACCTGCACTTCGTCTAGAAATACCACCTGCAGCCACCTGCAGCCACTGAACTACAAATGAACATAAATCCTCCAAAAAAAGTGGAAGTCGTGAGTGTCATAAAGCTACTGAAATGTGGGAAAGCAGCAGGTCCAGATGGGATCTCACCAGAATCACTGAGAACAGACGCATAGACAACATCGGACACGCTCACACCACACCACTATTGCAGAAGGTGTGGAAGGAAGAGGAGGTACCTGCTGACTGATTGGAAGGAGGGCTACCTTGTCAAACTGCGGAAGAAGGGAGACCTGAGTGTTTGCAAGAAGTGGCGCGGAATCACTCTCCTGTCCACCCGGAGTAAGCAAAATATTAGGCCGCATCATCCTGGAGAGGCTGAAGGATTCACTGGATTCAAAACTACTACCCGAACAGCCTGGCTGGCTGGCTGGATTCAGGAAATACAAATCATGTGCGGACCAAATCGCAACGCCACACTACGCATCATGATAGAACAGAATATAGAATGGCAGTCAACTCTCTACCTTACCTCAACTTCATCGACTTTGAGGAGGCCTTTGACAGTGTCGACCGAGAAGTAATATGGCAGTTGCTTCAACACTACGGAATACCACAAACCTTTATCAGCCTCATTCAACAACACCTATATGAAGACGCCACATGCCAGCCAAGTAATCCACAATGGGAAGCTCAGCTCAGTGATGCTTTTGAGTGAAGTGAAGACAGGAGTGAAACAAGGCTGTCTACTATCACCCATGATATTGCTGATTGTGGTCGAGTTGACTGGATCATGCAGCAAACAGTGGGGAGCGAGAAGAGGGGGGAAAGCTGGAGTGGGGAAAACATCCTAGAAGATTTGGATTTTGTCAATGACTTGTGTCTAATGTCGCACAAAGTGGAAGATCTACAGGCCAAAACCAACAAATTGACAGAAGAGGCAAGGCAACGAAGACGCGACTTTAAGTGAATATGGAGAAGACAGAGGTGATGAAGATGCCCAATCAACACCAACAACAACAGAAAGCCCCAATCACCATCAACGGGAGAAACTTAAAGGAAGTAGCCTCCTTCACCCACCTAAGCAGCATTGTCTCAACTAGAAGTGGCACAGACGAGGATGTTTAAGTCAGAATCAGAAAAGCAAGACAGAACTTCCTGCATTAACCTGAAACTAGTGTGGAGATCTTCTGCACTCAGAATAAAGTGTGAACAATATCCGGATTTTCAACACCAATATCAAGTCAGTGCTTCAGTGTGATGGTTGAGAGACATGGTGTGTTACGAAGGGGATTCTCAACAAACTACAGACACTCATCAACAACTGCCACCTACGTGGCTCGTTACTGAAGCTGAGATGGCCAGAATAATAAGATTAAGTAACAAGGAACTCACTCTGACTGGCTGGCAATGAACCAAGCAACAACCTATTGCTGAACAAATATGCACTGGAAGGAAGTGGAGATGGATTGGATTGGGTATACACTGAGAAGGCCGACTGGGAACATCACGCGTCAGGCCAGTCCGTCGAGTGGAACCCAGATGGGGGGCGACGAGTTGGGCGTTCGAGGTGAGGGTGACATGGAGGAGATCATGCGAGGAGGAGATGAGAGGTTGTGGGCTGTCATGGAGCCAGGTTGAAAAGATTTCAGAGAAGAGAGTGTAGTGGAGACATGGTACTGAAGCCCTATGTTCCACTAGGAACCCAAAGGACAAATAATAATGATAATAATAAGTACTTTGCAATGGCTGTGAAGTCGGACTAGCCAAACTGGGTCAGTTGGCTCAGCAGAACACTGAAGTCTAGATACGTTTATATGAACAGACCCTAATAAAACGAGTAATATTGAAAAAACTCCAGCCTTAGCTGTGCATCTGATGATACACAACCACAAAATAGCTTAATACAAAGTAACAGTCATAATGACTAATGTATCTAAGTGGAGGGAAATGTCGATTCAATGCCTAAGGTGTGTATAACGGAAATTATTCAACACCGATTCCAAATGTATGGAATATCCTGCTATCAATCAAATGGAAGAACAAAATATTGGGAAAGTTGTGTAATTCCTTTGATACCAATATGAGCAGCAAATTGTGCTCAGAATATCAGCTGGTAAGTAGCGATATATAAGGATAACTCAGTATAACCGCTCATCATATTTCGATTTGAATTTAATCACTGAATGAAGAAAATCACTTTGTGCTTACCTATATTCTCTTGAAATTTTAGGGAAGTCAAGAGGTCCAGGTCATTATTATTACCATCTGATTAATTCAACAAAGCATTCCGATGAAAGTAAGTTTACTTAAAATCCTTAGGAATTCTTTCTTTTTCTAATAAAATTTAACGTCACTATTCCTGTGATTCATATAGATATTCTATTTAAACAATGAGATACAAAGGAGAATAATGCTTCTTTGTTCATACACTGAAGTGAAATCGTCAAGCTATATAGGCTTGAAATGAGATGCTTTATAAGTGTCTTGATGGTGGCTAGCGGGAATTCTAGAATACATGTTTTATATTGTTTTGAACTCATCAGCTAAATGTGGATGTTTCTCGGTGATTTATGGTATTTTCTTTGAGATTCAAATCCATTAATCAATGCTTCAAACACCAGAGCCTTATGAGTTGACCCACTGGTTTCTAGTGACAATTTTTAACTTTTTGTTTCCTACCTTCATGGCTAGTATCTTCCCGAGTCAGGTAGTTTTAAAATGATATACTTTAAATCATTTTGATATGATTCTTTATCATATAACTTGTTAAACTATCAACTCGAATTAAGCCGAGAACAGGATTAAACAACTGTGAAGATGTTTGCAATAAGCAGAGAATGAATATCTTAAAACATCAATACGATGAGGTTGATAAACTATGACTTTTAAGATGAATTAAGTGTTAAAGTATGCTACTCAAATGATAGTTGATATAAATGCTGAAAAATTGTTTTCTGACTGATATCATTGCATCAACAAACTTTAAGTGGTCCTTTGCTTAAGGTGGACATGAGTAGTAGTTCATTAAGTACACGACAAATATAAATTTGAGATGGTAGCCTATTAGATGTATATATATTTCCAAGGGATTCCTTGAATATTTACTCATTCATATGTATCTGCAAAGTCTTAAATTTTTCGGTTCTAATAATTTATTTCAAAGCAATGATGTTACATTTTGAACTTACATAGTTCATTTTCGAAAGTCGGAATCCACCCACCAACCTTCTGCACATTAGCGTCGTAGGCAGCGAGTCACATTCACTCACTGTGTGATGATTAATGACACTTGGCTGCCCAAACCTCAGTAAGTGGAACGGCGCTCTAGGTGGCGACCCACAGGTAGAAGTTAAGTCCTTAAATCATTAAGCCATAACTTAGTTCTTCGTACTTACTATTACACGGAACATCACTCATTATGATACATTTAACCACTCGTCGTGTTTGAAGCGATGGGTAATGTGTCCAAATCTCATTGGGAGCACCATCACTCACTGGGATATAGATGCATCCAGCTGATGAGTCCTAAATAGAACGTACTATGTGTTCCGCATGCCACCGCTAACTACCGAGTAAACTATAGAATAATCGAATTTTCTTGATATCTAGATAAAACTTCAGTGGGTTGTAATTAAGGTGGTATGAATATTAGACTTATATATATATATATATATATATATATATATATATATATATATATATCAGTGTAGGATTTAGTATCCACTGAATAATTAGGATTATGAATAGTTTATCTGTGCTCAATCAATTTGACGTTTTCATAGGTCTAATGCGTTTTTAAATTTTGTTTGAATGCTTTTCGGTTTTGTGGAAGTTCTACCACTAAGCAGTCTTTTGCAACTTTAGTTGTCTTAGTCGGAAGTGAAATTGACTGTAACTGTCAGTCAAAAGTGTTGAAGAGGGAGTTGTTTATTGGCTTTACTCACTGTAAATTTACAGGATTTGATTACGTTGGTTACACGTTCACGACAAAATTGCTTTCACACTGTGTCTGACTCCGATCGGTTGAGTGTTTGGTGTTGGGTGAGGAGTTAGTATATATTAACCACTCTTGCTTTTGTTCACTTGAATATAGTAACTATTATCAGTATTTTGCTGGTTAACATTGGTCCATATTAGTGGAAAGTAGTCAACTTGAGTCATCAAAGGAAATGGATTCAACAAATGGATGTGTTTTCCGCGAGACCATTCTCAGCAACTGCACTCAAATATGATTGGATAGCATACGAATGACCAGTATGTACTGTTTTTTAATTGGTCAGAAATGTGTGTCTTTGTTAGTCGCTTCCATCTGTATATATACCTGTCTGACTTCTCCTCTGAAGCTATGTTCATAAGTCATACGCAGAGACTGACTATCAAACGTTGACACCAATACCTTCAAACATAGCTGAGTAAACGTCAGTTGTTCCTGATTGCAACACAACTGACAGTGGACGCACATCTTCAGAAAATTCGTTTGAAATAGTCTCATTCAATGTTGAAATTTTAAACTTTCTGACTCATTAGCCTAACTAGACCTTAGTGTTCATGTTATCATTACACAAACTCTTCTCTTCATTGACAAGTAATTAATCTGCCATTCCCTTTCACACTGACAACTGTCTACTCCCTTCGTCAAGAATTCTTCAATCATCGATTTCAACCCATACTTGCCTATTCATGTTGTCTAATAGTTTCATATTTCGCATATAATTTGCGTTCATATATATGGTATCTTGGTCACAACTTACTAGGAGGTATCGATTGATAAATATTGCCATTTTTGTAATACGGTGCTATTGACTAGTGTAAGTTGACTTTTACTGAACAGTGCTGGAAAGTATCAGTCTTGGTGTTGTACAATCTACTTCCGTGTTTGGCGTGTTCATGCAGATTCAAAAAGCAGCTGGATTGACATATGCAGTGGAAGTGGCTAAAAATAGCAGTTTGTCTATCACACAGGTATTTTCATAGTAGCAATCTAATGAGTACTAATGGATATCAAATGCTACGACGAAGCAGCTTTTCAGTACTCCCAGGTTTTTAGTGGTTCGTCATTTCATGATGATTACCAACTTTTAAATCAGTAAGTCCTCATGAACCTCCAAATCGAATTGTTACCTAGTGTTTACGAGTTACTTGCTTCGAGATAAGATTTCGCGAAGTTTTAGTGAGAAGCCCTAACCTATGTAGTCAACCAAGTGGAGACGGAAATGGAGACCAACTGCTGAAATTGGATGATGATAGCGCTATATTGCGAATTGACAGAAGTAGAAAGTCATAGACCATTGGATTATGACCTTGTGAATTAACTTCAAAGTGTACGCTGTGAAACCAGAGGGCCTTAGGTCCAATCTTTCGGAGTCTCATACTAGGAGGAGATATCTGTCTATTGCTCCAAGGTTTTCAGTGGCTTTCAAGTTGATATCAGACCATGATTGACATTGTCTTGAGATATAGTTAAATTTTACTCATAGATTTGTATATAATTATAACTAAGTGATATTATCAAAAACATCGTTCGTTTATTACTAAATAAGAATATTTAATCTAGTTGACTGAACGGTTGTCTTGAGAGGTACACGATTTTCTTCAGTATTGCTTGCTGACGCGCTGTGCGTGAAACCTCCTCTAAACCCTAAATTCGCTGTTTTATGCACTGATACAAAATGTGAATAGTTTAAAGTAGTCATGATATTATAGCTGGAAGATTGCAGTATACAGGAGTCGAGTCATAGCCAGAGTAGCCCGGGAGTAACGTCTCTGATTGCGGCACTGGATGGTTAAGCCTCCAGCCTTGGGCTGGATGACAGTTTAATTGAGGTTGCAGACACTTCGGGCTATTGAGTGCCGACAAAAAGAAAACTGGGGAGAGTAAAGCCTCCTGCCGCTCAGGAGCATGAAACTAGAACTATGCACGTTTTTACAGACCATCGCTTTATTTAATTAAAATCACACAATTTGTAAACTATATTCACGTGATAAGCTTCCTAGTTTTGGCTTCTAACTATATTGATGTCACCATAGTTGCCGTTACTATGACGTGAGACTGATAAAGTTAGTCATTTATTAGGCAAACTTTATAGCAAATAATCCAACACTGAAACCTATGAAACTGTCACCATGTGGGCTATTCTCGGGGAATGTTTGATCCTGGAAATGTTGTGTATGCCATTTTTACTCTTTACAGGTCACATGAGACAACATGAAGCACAATTATATTTCTCATACATAATCAAACTTCTGAAAAGCAGTTAGATTTATTGCAATACGATGGTGTTATAACATTTTCCGTCTACGATCATAGTTTTAAGTAGATGGACTTGGGAGACTTGATAGAAAAATGGAGTTAAGCAGAGGAAATCCTCTGTCTCTGAACAGTTAAATTAATACTTATGAACAAAATATGACACAAGAATGTGTAACTAAAATGGCCTTGGAAACACATAACTAGAAGGGGTTGGATGTTATGGCTCTAATTTTTTCTGTTTACATAAATTTAGATTGAATTTGGTTGGTTAATCACTGACCTAGGCATCTGACCTTTAGCCATTATGTTACGGGTTCAAATTCTGCTACACTCATCGAAGTTTCAGCAATCAGACTGTAAGTCACCCAATAGGTGTGGATCATTATCTACTCCACAAATATACACGTCTTTGCTGAGTGTATTTGTGATTTTTTCTATGTCATGAGAATGGAAATGGCAGTGACGAATGGTATGACTAAAAATATTTCAGTTATCATTTATTGTTATTATTATTATTGCTTCTGTATGGTAAAACTAATATTTCCATTTGGAAAATAAGCCTTACTTATTTTTTAACTCACAGAAACAGGTTATTTCATGAAAAGTAAGTCAGATTCTACCATATGAAGCTAAAAGCCATCACAATCTCTTCAACTGCTTGAAGTAAAAACCACTTTTTGGTTAATAAGTGCTTTTCATTTGACCACTCTAAACTAGTCACCAATGAACACTAGATTAACTCAATTTTGGGAGGGTTTGTAAGGATTTAGTGATTCAAGTCGGTGTTCATCATGGACTTTCATTAGTGAAAGGAACATTGAAAACCTAAAAACATTGAACAGCTGTCTCATCCTAGTATGAACTCCTCAGCAGTGTGAATTATTTAGTGAGTGAAAGACAAATTAACGCATTTGGCCTCATAAGTGTGTATTTAAAAGTTCATTTGCTCCTGTGAATCTGAGTTCGTCGGCTGTACAATGCGCTTGTGAACATTACTTAACCTGATTATTGAAAGGTGAGCCATTAACCGTTTCCAGCTTCACAGTTAAACAACTCGTAGGTTTTGGAAATTTGACTCCTCTGGAAACCTCGTACAAAGTTCTCTACAATGTTCGACTAAACCGTTCAAAAATGGTGAAGATTAGATACTTATGTACAGCCTAAACTTTACCGTGGCTTTAGATACATCCTCCCTACCTTTGTTTAGATTTTATTTTTGTTTTATCTGTTTACTTATACATTTCTTTATATGTTTACTTATTTAATTAGTTTTACTAGATATCAACTCAATGTTCAATGCATTTCATAAAAACTATTGAGATCATGTCTTGTATTGCGCAATATCATTTCACTCCCTCCATCGTCTATTGACTAAGATTAACATTTAATTGGAAACTTGTCTGGAACATTCTTTCATTGTACTTATATATTTCAAAGTTTTAAAAATCCCCATATTGAAAATTATAACAAAACATGTAAGCGAAAAAATATAATATACATAGAATAACAACCAATCAAGGTCATTTGTCAGTCAACGTTAACAAGGATATGGATTGTATACTTTAGAATGATAAAATGAGTTCAATTTCAATGTTTGTGGGGGATTTACTGATTTCACGTTGTTATTCATCATGAACTGACATCAGTTAGAGAAAAAAATGGAAACCTGAGGACACTGGACAGCTGTTCCGTCCTAACATGGGACTTCTGAGTAGTGGGCCTCCAGTGGCTCAATGCTAACGTGCTGGTCGCGGAACCTGAAGGTTCTGTGTTAGACTCCTAAGTGAGGTTTTGGGTGTACACTGATGAGGAGTCCCATGCTTATACGAAGCAACTGTCGAATGCCTTCAGATTTCCAACATTGTTCCAACTGATGTCAGTCCATGAAGAATACCAACCTGGAATAAAATTAGGGGTAGTATAAAGGATAATACGAATGTTCAAAATGACACTACATTGTAAATAGGTGTTCACGAAAATAGGCAGACAAAGTTGGTGAAAATTTGTAAAGGGACAATAAGGTTGCCTAATACTGAGAGATGAAGGCAGGGAATAAAAAACTTTGAACGCAAGTATAATATTGGTGTAAAAAGGGTGACGAAATGCGATGAAAAGGGGGAAAAGTACATTTTAAAATTCTTAAGTAAGGTCATTCATTAAGTTTTCTGCTACCAAAGTAGAGTTATAAACTGTATTCATCCGAACCCCATTAGCCTTAGCTACATGTAAAAAGTGAGTGTGAATTTCATCGGAAAGGTACAATAGGATGCGGTAAGCCGCTTTGAACGCTTTCGTTCTATCCCCTCTATGATTACTATCAACTAGATGTGACAAAAAAGAGATTAATACAGATTTAATCTACCCATTTCTGAATGTACAGATGTGAAAATGAGTCGTCGAAAAGATAACTATATCTTCCCTGTAACCCCATTTTTGTTTTTCAATATTATTTTCCGTTTAACAGGAAGTTAATCGCTATACAACACAGCCTTATTCTATTGCCTACAATTAGCTTGTTATTCAATAATTGTTGCCTTATTTTAATCTATACTTTTTTCATTATTTTACTACAAAAACAGAAGTTAGAGATGCATGTGAGTACTAGGTGATTTTCTAAACTTTCATCTTGAATAATTGACTGAATATTTGTAGAGTTTGAGTGCTACAGTAAATGTATACCAAACCAACATACATAACTTCTGAATCTTTGTAATGAGTTCTTTCTATGCAAGTAATAATAGAGGGAAAAGGGAAGACTGCCTGGAAAATACTTACAATATCTCAATTTGATTATATGTATGAATTACTTGCCTGCTTACCATTAGCATAAGTTTTGAGTGAAGTCATGAAGTTTTTGACAATTACTTTGTTTGCGTAAGTATAATCCATGAAAGATTAGACTACCGAAGTGAAGGTGAAGAAAATTTCTATCTTATCCCATCTGGGCATAATATAGATGCCAATAGGACTTCTGATGTCTTACACCATGTCTCAAAAATATTAAGACTTGTAGCCAATCAACATTCACCCAGCAAATCTGAAATTCTAGCAATCAAACCTTAACTCTACATTCCATATTGACTATTAGTATTAAAATGATTGTTATTATTATTTAGACGTACTATTCATCATGGAATGACATCAGTTAGGGAACCATTGAAAATCTGGGAGCACTAGACAGCTTCCAGATGGATATCGGGAAGTTCTAATGAGAAGCCGTGACCTGTGGGGTAAACCAATCAGAAGTGAAGTGGATGCTAACTGAAGACCTTGGGTGACAGTCACTCTATGTCGTGAATTGACAGAAGTTGAAAATTGTGAACCACTGGAAACTACCCAGTGGCTGAATGGCTAACGCGTTCGCCGTGGAACCTGAAGGTCCCGGGTTTGACCCCTAGCCGGGTCGTGGGTGCATACTAATGAGCAGTCCCATACTAGGACGAAACAGCTGTTCAGTGCTCCCAGATTTCCAATGGTTCCCCAACTGATATCAGTCCATGATGAATACTACTTCTAAATTAAAATCCCCATTCATCTCAAAGTACATTATTATTATTATTTGTCTCTTGGGTTCCTAGTGGAACATAAGGCCTCAGTAGCACGTTTCCATTTCACTCTCTTCTTTGCCATCTTTTGAACCTGGCTCCACGACTGCCCAGAAGTTCTCATTTCTTCCTCATATGATCTCCTCTATGTAACCCTAGAACTTAGCTCGCTATCCTTCTAAGCACTAGGTACTTTCCCTTCCTTCCAGACCTCCTACAAAAAAGTTATGAACATGTCCCCTGTAGTCTCTCCGAATGTTCTCAGTGCTTCTGAATGAATTTCATCTGGTTCTGCTGCTTACCTGCATTTTAGTAGCTTTATGGCGTCCACCACATCGGCTTATGTTAAAGACATTGTGTTCACTTGTAGTTCTCTGCCTGCAGGATTTTGAAATGGCTAGCCCATCGTTTCCTTCCTTTCTCCTCTTCAGTAACTAAGTTCCCCTCACTTTCTTTACCTGCTTTCATCTATATTGATCTCCACCATACAAAAGATTAACCTGGTTAGTTGACATAATGTTGACACGTACGTCTCTCCTACCACCAGCCGATTCTGCTTCATTCGGCAATGTGTCACAGGAGTGTCTTTTGTCTTCCCGTCCACTCTTCTCCACTTCTTTCTACAGTGTAGTGTCTTATACGTTGTGCTCAGTCACGTTTCTGGGTGGTCATCCCTACCTTCACTGGCGCATCTTCCGATTCACCATCTTCCTCACTCTACCCCATCAGATAACATATGCAGATGCATGGAGATCCACTCCCAGTCATGTTTCTTCTCCCTTCCCATTACGGTTATGCAGGTTCCCATCTACACAGCTTCCAAACAGTTCCAGTGTTCATCCACAGAGATAACCTCAAACATGTTGCCTAATGTCTCCCTTTCTTCCTCATGGCTGACGTGAAGATGTCCTTTGTAGTTTCCTCCCTCACTTTCTCTTCTGCATGTTCAATGTGAACTGTGGCCTATCACCAACTTCTGTGAACGCCTTCAACTCGATTCTGAAGACAGCTTACTTGCACTGCATACTGAGTGGTGTGAACCTACATCTGCTCCACTTCTTCATCTCATCCCGCCTCCAGTAGGCTGGCTGCGTCTCCACCTTCTTCACATTGAGATGAAGTTGATCTGATTTCTAGTGTGTCCTGGTGTCTGGTGAAATCCACGTCACTCACTTTGTGGATATCCTTGTGCCTGAACACACTGCCTAACCCCAATCACCAAATCATTGAATGCACAGAATTCTGCAAAACGTTCTCCACTCTCGTTCATTCCATCAAGTGCTGCTCGACCCATGATGGATGAGTTCTCTTCCTGTGTTGTCCACTCCCAGTTTGGCATTGAAACATGTCACCCAACCCCATTACAATTTCGATGTCGCCATCTGATGTGGGGTTTTGTCCAGTGTTGATTGCAGTTGTCTGTAGAATTCCTCCTTCTTCTCTTCATATGCATTATTTGTAGGTGCATATCGTAGTGTAGTGTAGTGTAGCATTGTATGATTGTGATTTTGCTTCCTTCCGAGTTGAATCTTGCTGTCAGGATGCTGATACTGATCCCGATCCGGATCCTGATCATGCAGGAGGAGATTGATTCCCACCAACTGACAGTGAGCCTTCGATGTTGTTGCGGGCATCATGACAGCCACTCGAAAACCCAGTGTGCTCGTGGTTGTTGTCTGGATGACAACATCGGAGTTGATTGTTGACTGCTCTGAAGTTGACAGTTTGGAGAGTCCACTCCCATTCCATCTGCAGATTCCTCTCAGATTCCAAGCACTTCCATGCCATATCCTCTCATCTCTCTCGCAATCTGGACAGCCTTGATAGGTTCATACTTGGTGTGGACTTCCCTTCTTCCCATGTTTACTTCGGTTTCATCGAGGTGAGAGAAGATACACTGGCCTGTTGGCTTCCTGTAGGCTTTCACCAACCGGCATCATTTTGTCTCTGCGATTCCAGTGAGGAATGGGTTTGTTTTTATCTTTTATATTTTCTTTGTGTTTTGAAGTTTGTGTAGCGATTGGATTGGTTTTCCGGGGTAGGGTAGCTATGCGTATGCCCAACCTTCCCTGTTTATCGGGGGTTATGACTTGCTAGTTACTAGTGAACTAGTTAACCAGGCTAGGTTCCATATTGATTATAATTTGCCGAATGTTAAGGCTGGATCATCAATCTAAGTGTCATACTTATTGCCGTTAAGTTGTTTGTATCAATGATGGATAGTGGAGAGCAATGAATTCCAGGATGCATATTTCGGCCCACTTGGTACTCATCAGTTAAGTTCGCTTGCCTACCAGTGATGGATGTTGTTCTCACTAGAATTTGAAACGAAGAACGATCATTTAAAAAGCCAAGGCGTTTTCCAGTGGTCTCTTGTGTCACAATAACCACACTTGTAATGCAATCAAAACATAGTATGGTTGAATGCTCTAGTGTGTAAATCTCTGAGGTTGATTAGGCCAAATTGACCAGTCACTATTCACATATGAGTTCTTATGCAGATACCTTGATATTACCGATATTTATAGTCTTGACAGTGATAATGGATTGTAGCCAGCAATAGAATTCAGCTCTCCAGAAATTCAGGTTAGTAACCTGTATCAATGAGAAATGTTACTTTGGTCATATACACAGTGTCTTAGTGATTACTTCGAACACATTTAATATTCATGTTGAGTCTGTTAATAACCTCTGTCATTCACCATAAATTGAGGATGTAATTCTTAAGTATTTTTTTTCCAAGACATAAATAGACTTAGTCGTTCTACTTATCTTTTATCTCTCTTTGTTCCCATCATGATGCAATAGTCTTTTATTTGTTCGATGAAGGAGGTTAGTCTTTTTCTAATGATTATTTCGAACTATATATAGTAATGAATCTGACTAACTTAGGCTTGATAGTCTTACCTCAACTTAGTATAAACTTCAAATGTGTAATCATGTTCTATGTTCCTTTATCAGAAGCGTCAAAGTAGAATAATGACAGGTGCACTCGGCAACTTTGTGCACAATCGTACAGTTGGCCAATGAACCATATCCACCTATTGTGTTGGAGTTAATGCCCAAACCTCGGAAGGTGGAGCGGTATTTGAACCCTTCACGCACTGATTGAAACTCAACCCCTTAGACAATACCTCTACAGGGACGAGATAAAAAAGGTCCAAGTTAATCATTAGTAGACAATGTTGGTAATCAATATATTCTCCTAGTCTGGTGGTAAAATGCCCGAAAAGTAAACAATTAATATTCTCATTGTGCGGTACAAATGTTCTCTAACTAAAACTGAAGTAAAAAAAGGAGTAAATAATTTTGCTACAAGAGAGGACTATTCACAATCACTAGGTGAAGTTTAACGACACTTATGCAACATCTCTGTGACTGTGAATGTGTCTGGAAACAACTAACAGTTCAGGAATCATGTCTATAATGGTATCAACGTTAATCACTAAGACCTACGCAGCTACACTGGTCACCTACTGGTAATGCATTTGCGCATGTGATCCAGTCCTATGGGAGTTAAGTTATGACCTAGGTAGATTGATGGTTCAGTACTGATCGACAGACGTTCAAATGGCTGCAGTAATGCCAGTTTCTTTATAGCTCTAGATACGCCTTATTAATGAGTACCTTAAAAAACAAACTGTGAGTCTAGCTTTGCCTAAAGGTTGACTCTTAAATGTATTTCTCTCGCCTGATATGACTGACTGGATTCATAAACGTTTGCCTAGATGGAAAGTACACCATTTTTAGAAAAAAACTGATTGTTCACTGGAGTTCAACCAATTTCATGTTCACTAACTGTAAGCGCTAACTGAATTCTATTGGTCTGCTCATAATACGGTCACCAAGGCTTAGCTTCAAAGTGCACTTTGATTGATGGATGTATGATAGTTTGAGGAAATCGCAGAAGAACTTGAACCAAAGTATCGTGGTTGTTGGGACTCATCAACTAGGCATTTCCGTACCCTAAAGAGAACCCATTTCGACTCAGAGATACAAACGCGGATCACGCATTACCACAGTAAGAGACCTTACTGTTCGAGTATTCAGTAATAAGGTGTGACAAATCTACTGGTGGGATATCGACTCAGTAGGCCGAAAATTATCATCTTTGGTGTTTTCTTGAATCACCTACCATCACCCCTGAATGTTGAAGTCATCTTGTCAATTCAAGGATATCTGTAACAGTCTAATAGGCAAAGTATAATTTTATGACATTTGATGCTGGGAGTCGATCGGTAGTAAATTCTGGATCTGTACTTCATCTTTGTTGGTACTCATCAACGGGGTACATATGCAGACTTGATTTAAAAGTAACTTTTTAGTAGGAAATACTTTTACTAAGTTTTCCTGCCTACTTACTATTATTATTGTTCCATCTATTTTCCGTAGAATTTCATCCATTGAGAAACAAGTAAGAATAATGTTCCTTTTTGTTCAAAGAAGTCGGCGTGTTTCAATTTAATATGCTTTAGCTTTAAGATTAAATAACATATTTTAACCAAGTGTGTGGAATTTTGTAGAGGGAAACTGAAGTCTGTATAACTTTGGTGTTTATATTCTGTTTCCGTTACAGACTATTTTCAAATATTAACTAGATGTTAAAAAAAGACACTAGCTAACAGTGGAATCCAGAAGGCGGGTTTTTACCAATCTGGAACTCTTCAATTGAATGTACCTATCACCCAGCACTTGCCGCTTCAAACTTCAAAGTATAATCCTCTAGACTACTAAGTGACGATAACTACTTCTTGTGCAACGAGTATAGTTTTGATATTGAAGATTTTTATTTCCCATTGTTGATCAATCTGGACTGAAGTGATTTGCTGTTTTTTAATGGAGGCCAATTGGTTTAATTCAAATCAATGCGGAAAAGGCTCACTCAAATGTTAACTAGACCCTTTACAAAAAAGGCCATGGTATTCAATTTTCGCTATATTTTTGGTTGCAGTCTGTAAGGCTAAGATGTGAATGATCCATGTATGCACTACATTACTATTCATTTGAGATGCTCATAAAGCTAACTGATTGGCTAATAAACCTAAGGTTATTCATCATCATTAACTTCTAGGATAATCTTAATGTACAATGAAGGAGAACTTTTAACCTTTAGTCTGAAAAGTATATTTTCTAAAACTTACCAACCGTGATTGTTATATCTTCCACTACACACCATGGCATACCTGAATGAAAACAGAGATGAATGACTATTCTCTGTAAAAGATTGAAGGTATCGAAATTCTGTCGAGTTTAAATTTCTCATTATTTCGTTTTAGAGTTCAAAAAGAACCGGTGTCTAACACTGAGAAATAAAAATGACATGGAATACGGAAACAAGCAGTACTAGAAACTACTTGATCAACAGTCATCCGTTGATCTGTTAATAAGTTACTCGTCAAGTACCAGAGAAATTCTAGATTCAACACCTGAAAGAGTCCTTGAATACCTAAATATAGACTGAAAGTGGTATTACATTTGCAACCACAGTCATTTAATGATTGAAGCTGTATTCAGTTTTGACGTTTGGTTCCATGTTGGTGTTCACCGCGGAATGACATCAGTTAGGGAACCATTGAAAACCTTGAAGTACTGGACAGCTGTTTTATCCTTGTCCAGGAGTCCTCAGCAGAGGGAACTCACAATATCATCAGCCATTGATGGTTCCTTAACTGACGTCAAACCGTGATGAATGTCACTCTGGTAATAATAAATCTTCAGAAACCTCCAAATTGAGCTGCCATCTTTTAATTACCAGTGGGATGCTTCAAGATAATATTTCCTAAGTTCTATTTGGAAGTCAAGAAAATGGGATCAACCGAGTTGGAAGTGAAACGGATGCCCCGCTACTGACGCTCCGAACTGACAGAAGTAGAAAAATATGGACAAGTATATTCCAACCAAGTAATTCAGTAGTATCAGGATCGCTACATTCCTAGCCAGGTCATAGATATGTAGCGTTCAGGAGTCTCATGCTATGAAGAAAAAGTTGTTCAATGTTAGTAGGTTTCCAGAGGTTCTTCAAGTGATATCAACTGATGATGATAGTGAAAGATATATTCGTTGAATAAATTATCCTATATTCTGAATTTAGGAGTTATTTGTACAATTTCTGGTAAGTTAGAATACTCATGAATAGTATATTTTGATGATCGTTAATTGTTTTACCGGCTTTAGTACTTTTTTTTCGTAAAACAGTTCATGAAATAGACTAATATTAAAGACTTGATCAATACTTGTCTGATAAAGAGGTGAAAATTTGAGCTACAAATCTTTTTTTTTGAACTGAGTATCTAGATTCAAGAAGTATTCTTACAAGTATCTTATGAACCAACGAAAGTACAATAATACATGGATATCGTTAGGTGATTTTATAAGTTAAAAAAAGGAATTGAATAGATGAGTTTTAAATAACACCATTGAAATTATTTACATTTGAATTTAATGAAAGGATTCTTGAAAGTTTTGTAATAGCAAAAATGATAATTTATTCTCTTCGTCTAAACCACATTCATTTACATAACTCTATTTTCTATATGTATTCATAAATTTTAGGTATCTCTTCAGAGGTTCTTTCTTGAATATTAGAAATTTCTTAGTTTTAATGTTTGGAAATTAACTTGATGCATAATGTATGTATGACCTTGAGAGAAATTAAAACAAAACATATTTTGGCAAAATTTAAAAAAAATATTCTGTGTAATATTTTTTTTTGAGTAATTTGCTTGGTATAATGAACAATAAATTCTTAAAAATATCTATTGTATTCAAAGTTCAATTTTTGATATGAAGTTGGTATGATTTTTAATTAGAATTTATGAGATGCTTTTAGTTAGTCTTTTAGTTTCATGGATGATTTGTTCGACTACCTGTAATGTAGGAAACATGGTGACCAACAGTCTTAGGGTTGTTGTAATTTAAGTTCTTACTTTTAACAATAATCATTTTCAAAGTGAATTTCAGTGGTTTGAAACATATAACTTTCGTTAACTATCGAAAACAACGTTTTCAGTGAAGAAATGTTTCTTTTCGAAAACTTTATCTTCAAGATGCCTGACTGAATGTTTTATAGTGGACAAAATAAGAGAAGTCTTTCACGTTAGAAATCTGATCTACATGAGGAAAACAGAAATCAGATGGTTAAAAACATATGCTACAATTCAGTAATACTAACAATATTGCAAACTAAAATAGAATCAAGTTCACATAGCGAATTTATTGTTTGGAGTCAAAGGATAGAAAACGGTTATAAACGATTTTCTGTGCAAGGTTTACGTTGTATTTCGTGATTCCATAGGATCATTATGCGTAGATTATGTTATTATACAATCGTCGCACTTCAGCAAACAGACTATTTATTACTCAGTGCGTATCTAAGGAAGATGAATTTTCAGCCTACAATGTACTTAATAAGGAATTCATTTACGATTAGATTTCAATGAAGATTAGTAACTTCTAAGCGTAAATCCACTAAATTTTCTTTACTTATCTGAATTTCATAGATGGCAGCAGAACTAAGAAATCTAGTCGAGGAAACAGAATTAGTAGTAGTAGCATTCGACGCGTGGCTCTGAGGTTTGACAAAATTTCACTGTAGTGTAGAAATTACTGAAGAGTTCCAAGATGAAAAGTAAAATAAAACTTCAACAATCCAAATTCAAACACTATAGCTGTTTGTCGAAAATCTCGAAATAAAAACACAAAATTGGCTTAAAACAGGATATCAAAGTTGTTTCATTCTAGTATGGCACTGCTTAGCGGTGTAAACAACAATTCCTCCTCAGTCCATGAATCACAACCAGGACAGTCTGATGACGTGGTGAAGACGTTAACCTTCGTGTCCCTAATTATTCACGCGTATTGAAATGAATGGTGAATTTTATCACGTTTAGAAGCCGATTGTTGTTCATGAAGTCGCTTAGTTAACTAGCTCACTAGTAACTAGCAAGTCATAAGCCCCGATAAACAGGGAAGGTTGGGCATACGCATAGCTACCCTACCCCGGAAAACCAATCCAATCGCTACACAAACTTCAAAACACAAAGAAAATATAAAAGATAAAAACAAACCCATTCCTCACTGGAATCGCAGAGACAAAATGATGCCGGTTGGTGAAAGCCTACAGGAAGCCAACAGGCCAGTGTATCTTCTCTCACCTCGATGAAACCGAAAGTAAACATGGGAAGAAGGGAAGTCCACACCAAGTATGAACCTATCAAGGCTGTCCAGATTGCGAGAGAGATGAGAGGATATGGTATGGAAGTGCTTGGAATCTGAGAGGAATCTGCAGATGGAATGGGAGTGGACTCTCCAAACTGTCAACTTCAGAGCAGTCAACAATCAACTCCGATGTTGTCATCCAGACAACAACCACGAGCACACTGGGTTTTCGAGTGGCTGTCATGATGCCCGCAACAACATCGAAGGCTCACTGTCAGTTGGTGGGAATCAATCTCCTCCTGCATGATCAGGATCCGGATCGGGATCAGGATCAGTATCAGGATCCTGACAGCAAGATTCAACTCGGAAGGAAGCAAAATCACAATCATACAATGCTACACTACACTACACTACGATATGCACCTACAAATAATGCATATGAAGAGAAGAAGGAGGAATTCTTCAGACAGCTGCAGTCAACACTGGACAAAACCCACATCAGATGGCGACATCGAAATTGTAATGGGGTTGGGTGACATGTTTCAATGCCAAACTGGGAGTGGACAACACAGGAAGAGAACTCATCCATCATGGGTCGAGCAGCACTTGATGGAATGAACGAGAGTGGAGAACGTTTTGCAGAATTCTGTGCATTCAATGATTTGGTGATTGGAGTTAGGCAGTGTGTTCAGGCACAAGGATATCCACAAAGTGAGTGACGTGGATTTCACCAGACACCAGGACACACTAGAAATCAGATCAACTTCATCTCAATGTGAAGAAGGTGGAGACGCAGCCAGCCTACTGGAGGCGGGATGAGATGAAGAAGGGGAGCAGATGTAGGTTCACACCACTCAGTATGCAGTGCAAGTAAGCTGTCTTCAGAATCGAGTTGAAGGCGTTCACAGAAGTTGGTGATAGGCCACAGTTCACATTGAACATGCAGAAGAGAAAGTGAGGGAGGAAACTACAAGGGACATCTTCACGTCAGCCATGAGGAAGAAAGGGAGACATTAGGCAACATGTTTGAGGTTATCTCTGTGGATGAACACTGGAACTGTTTGGAAGCTGTGTAGATGGGAACCTGCATAACCGTAATGGGAAGGGAGAAGAAACATGACTGGGAGTGGATCTCCATGCATCTGCATATGTTATCTGATGGGGTAGAGTGAGGAAGATGGTGAATCGGAAGATGCGCCAGTGAAGGTAGGGATGACCACCCAGAAACGTGACTGAGCACAACGTATAAGACACTACACTGTAGAAAGAAGTGGAGAAGAGTGGACGGGAAGACAAAAGACACTCCTGTGACACATTGCCGAATGAAGCAGAATCGGCTGGTGGTAGGAGAGACGTACGTGTCAACATTATGTCAACTAACCAGGTTAATCTTTTGTATGGTGGAGATCAATATAGATGAAAGCAGGTAAAGAAAGTGAGGGGAACTTATTTACGAAGAGGAGAAACAAGGAAACGATGGGCTGACCGCTTGAAATACTCTTGAATCAACTGCCACCACTTGGAATTCCTCCATAAATTCCACCAGCAGCCAAGCCATCGTGAACATAACCCTCCAACAGAAGCCGAAATCCTGAAGGTAATAAAGTTGCTGAGATCCAGGATGGCTACAGGACCAGATGGAATTCCTTCAAATGCACTAAAAACAGACGCAGAGATAACAGCGGAGACGCTCACACCACTGCTGCAGAAGGTTCGCAAGGAAGGAAAGGTACCTTGTGATTGGAAGAAGGGCTATCTTTTCAAACTCCCAAAGTTGGGAGACCTAAGTCCTTGCAAGAACTGGCTAGGATTCATGCTCCACCCCCGTCCACACCAAGCAAAATATCAAGTTGCATCATCATGAGAGACTACAATATGCGTTGGATTTGATTTACTACCGGAATAGACTGGATTCAGGAAGAACAAATCTTGTGGGGATCAAATTGCGTTGCTATGCATGATCGTAGAACAGAGTATAGAATGGCAGTCAACTTTTTACCTCAACTTCATAGATTGTGAATAGACCTTCGACAACGTCTACCAAGAAGTAATTTGGCAGGCTGCTGCTTCAACACTATGGAGTGCCACAAACCGGTATCAACCTCATTCAACAGCAGCTATATACTATATGATGCTACATGACTAGGTGATTCACAATCGAAAGCTCAGTGATACCTTTGAAGTGAAGATAGGAGGCTACCTACTATGACCCATGATCTTCGTGATTTTGGTCGACTGAGTCATGTAACAAACTATGAAGAACGAGAAGAGGTGCATACGCTGGGAGATTTAGATTTCGCCGATGATTCATATCTAATGTCGCACAAACTCGAATATCTGCAGGCGAAAACCAACATGTTGACAGAAGAGCAGCGAAGACGGGACTTCAAGTGTGTGCAAGAGGAACAGAGTTGATGAAGATACCCAAGCAACAACAATACTAAGGACCAATCACCATGAACGGGAGAAACCTAAAGGAAGTAGTCTCGTCCACCTACCTAGGCAGGCAGCATCGTTTCAACTATATGCGGCACAGGCACAAGGAGGACGACAAAGCCAGGATCGGAAAAGCTAGCAGACGTTCATTAACCTGAAATCAGTGTGGAGATCTTCTCCACTGCACTCAGAATAAAGAAAAATATCCGGATTTTCAACACTAATTCAGTCAAGCAAGTCAGTCGTTCTATGTGATGGTCGAGAAACAATGAGTTCATTGTGGCAACGAACCAACCAGATCCATCTCCAATTAATATTCTGAAGAAAGTGGAGATGGATTGGGCATACCGCTGAGAAAAGTGATTAGGGACATAACGCGCCAGGCCCTTGAGTGGAACCCTCATGGGAAACGACGATTTGGGAGTCTAAGGTGACATGGAGGAGATCGTATGGGGAAGAAATGAAAGCTTGTGGGCAGTCATGGAGCCAGGTTCAAAAACTGCAGAAAAGAGAGTGAAATGGCGACGTGCTGTTGTATCCCTACGTTCCCTAGGAACTCAAGGGACAAATAATAATAGTCGAAAAGTGAAGAGGGTGACCATTTTTTCCAATGTATTGTTGATCACAATTATTGCAGTCGATTTTGTAAATGATATTCGGTTTTTTGGTTGTTGCCTCCTTTGGTCTCCATAATATGGTTTGAAGAACTTTGTTGGTTTATGGGCCACACCAATTCTAAGTGATCTCCGTAATCTTGTCAATATTTCTGGTATATTCTTTATATACGGTAGGTTGATGCGTTTATTAATTTTGTCGATGACTTTGTAGTTGGTGATGTACGGGATAGGTATCTTCTGATAAGGTTTCGTGGGTAGCCGTTCTTCTTTAAGACAGAAATCAAGGTGATTTTCTTAGATTCTACGTGTTGTCGTACTGCAGTGTGTTCTCACTCTTTGAGTAAAGTCTGTACGCAGCTAATTTTGTACGTTGTTGGTTTTTTGCGCACTTGGGTTTCCAGCTTCC